AGGTTTAGATACGCTTCAAATAAAAGTGCCCAAAAATCATTACAACTTCCTTTGAATGGCTCGAAAAATTCTAAATGGATTATGGATTTCACATCACCTTTTGTGACGTGGCCATCAGGACAAATAGAGTGAGCGTGAATATACCAGCTGGGGAGACAGACAGCAATCAAAACTTGCTAGGGGTTCCATACACTTGCTAGGGGTTCCGTACATAACGTGGCTATCAATACACTTTATTGCACGATTATCCCCATACAGAAGAGCTGTATTTCAGGGTGGATGTTGGAAGCCTATTTGGGGAAGATAAAAATCCAGTTGCAACTGGAACTGGCACTGTTATCTTTCAGTCAACAATAGGCTCTAGAGCAGTGGCGGCCAAATTAATTTGGAATCCAGGAGCCAGGAGTTGATAGGAGTTGTAGTTCATTGACTACAACTAGGGGCAACCTCAAAAGCTACCTTGCTCCTGGGATTTGTCCAGCGCTGCTCTAGACGTAAACTATATATACATTATTTGGCCAAATGTTTGTGGATTCCTGACCCATCACACCTATATATGAGCTTGTTGGACATCCTGTTCCAAAGCCATGGGCATTAATATGAAGTGTCCCCTCCATATACCTCTCTTTGGTTTTTGGCTTTCCCTATGATTTTGATCAGTTTCTGTGGAAATTTGAGTCCATTTAGCCAGGAGAGCATTTGTAAAGTCAAGTACTGATGTTGAATGAGAAGATCTGGCTCACCATCGGCATTCCAATTTATCCCAAAGGTGTTCCGTAGGGTTGAGGTCAGAACTCTGTGAAGGTCACACGTGTTCCTCCAAACCAAACCAAACCCATCAAACCATGTTTTTATGGAGTGGACTTTGTACACAGGGGTACAGTCATGCTGGAACAGAGAAGGGTCTTCCCCAAAACTATGCTACAAGGTTGGAAGCCCACAATTGTCTTTGTATGTTGTAGAATTAACAATTCCCTTCACTGCAAACACCAGAAGTCAGTCAATTAGAGGGTCACCCACATACTTTTGGCCATTATAGTGTATCTGAAAGTCAATAATGCTTTACACGATCTGTATCCACTCATTTCTCATTCGATACAGTTCCTGAATAAAGGTAAAAGGAACAAAGTTTCCGCAGAGCCGACAGCTTGCCACTTTAATAGACGCAGCTGCGAAAAAGTATTAAAGCCTAACGTACATCCCTCCGGGGTCTCCGAGGTATCGAGCTGGTGTAAAAATACAAGGAACGCGAGGTGCTCAGGAGGAGACACTGGGGAGGCAGCGGTTTACAGCCATCAACGCTTGTCGCAATTAAGAGAATCCTGTGCCACCTGTGGGTCGTAAAGTAAATTTGATTTTCATTCAGCAGCCTGGACCGCCTCGTAAACACGGCGACGTTAAGTGTTCCCGGAGGAAACACTCAAACTTATTTATTGCTGATAGCGCTCCAAGATCCCACAACTACATCCGCTTTAACGACTCGTTGCCAATCTCACAATATGTTTTGGCGGAAGGGGTTATGTACTAGGTACATGAACTGCGGTCCATTGTGTTTACTTACAAAATTAAAGTTATATTTAGGACAAACTTAAAACTGTTGCCAAAAGTATTGGGACGCCGGCCTTTACACGCACATGAACTTTAATGGCATCCCAGTCTTAGTCCGTAGGGTTTAATATTGATTTGGCCCGTTTTTTGCAGCTATAACAGCTTCAACTCTTCTGGGAAGGCGTCCACAAGGTTTAGTAGTGTGTCTATGGGAATGTTGGACCATTTGTGAGGTCAGGTACTGATGTTGGAGGAGAAGGCCGGGCTCGCAGTCTCCGCTCTAATTCATCCCAAAGGTGTTCTATGGGGTTGAGGTCAGGACTCTGTGCAGGCCAGTCAAGTTCCTCCACCCCAAACTTCCCCATCCATGTCTTTATGGACCTTGCTTGGTGCATTGGTGCGCGGTCATGTTGGTACAGGAAGGGGCCATCCCCAAACTGTTCCCACAAAGTTGGGAGCATGAAATTGTCCAAAATGTCTTGGTGTGCTGATGCCTTAAGAGTTCCCTTTACAGGAACTAAGGGGCCAAGCCCCACCCCTCAAAAACACCCCCACACCATAATCCCCCCTCCACCAAACTTTCCACTTGGCACAATGCAGTCAGGCAAGTACCGTTCTCCTGGCAACCGCCAAACCCAGACACGTCCATCAGATTGCCAGACAGAGAAGCGTGATTGGTGACCGTGGAATATTTAGTAGCAAGGAAATTTCACGGAACACCTGAATCCAATGATTTGGAGGGGTGTCCCAATACTTTTGGCAATGTAGTGTATATAAGGGACCCAGTCTACTTGGCCAGGAAATAGAGTGGACCTACACCCAAAGTTTAGATCCGCTTTGATCAGTTAGGGAGGGCAGTTAAGGCTCTTTGAATCAGCACTTGTCCTTAGTAACATGAAAAGTCCTTGGCTCTCTGGTTTTAGGTCAAGTGACCTAACATGCCAATTTCAGCAGGTTTGTCCACTTTCAGAGAGGACTCTCTGGTGGTGTCATTGCCCCAGGGCACAGCTGCGAATGCTTTAAGTCACATTAGTACGAACCAGAATGTGGATCTACTTGTTTCAGAAGATTGGTAGGTTCCTGTTCATTCTAATAACCTTTTCTACCTACCTACCCTAAGGCTGACCTAATTGTATAAGGTGGGCCCAACCTTTGAGTTTAAAGAAAACCCAAGCTTTGCCCGTTTAGGTTAAAACAATGGGCTGACCTCCCCCTCCCCCACTCTTCCCAGAAAAAAATTGCTGGGACCTGAAGAGTACTTCCAGGTATTGGAGAGCATGTGACTCACTCGATGTGATATCTCTATGGGAGGACACGGCTGTACGGCGACGCACGCTCACCCAAGCTGCACATCCGTGCGGGTGTCCGTGCTCGGATGCAGAGAGGATCCATCCGAGGACATGTGCAGCTCGGGTGAGCGTACAGCCGCATCCTCCCATAGAGAAGAACAGGCCGCTGTGTACAATCACACGCAGCACCTGTCCTTCCCAGGAGCGGCCCGATATGGCCGTGCATGCCGCACGGATCTGTACGGGACGACTCTTAGCTGTGTGAATGAGGCCTTAAAGAAAGAACTCCGGACAAAAAATATTCTTAACCCTTTGCAGTGGGGTTACCCTGGCACTGCAAGGGTTAAGTGCTCAGGGACAAGAATAAAAAAAAATATATATACTCATCTGAACCTTGAGGTTGGCTGGCTGCTAGACCTGTCCCTCACTCCCCCTCCGCTCCAGCAGTCTAAGGTCCTGTGAATCATCATGTCCAATGCAGTGTATAGGAAGTGAGGACGCCGAGGGACATTCCATCACTAGAGCGGAGGGTAAGAGAGAGGCTGAGGAGACCGGTCTAGCAGCCAGTCGGCTCTGAGGTTCAGGTGAGCATATCTTTTTTATTTTCTTCCCTAGACAAAAAGAAGCACTTAACCCTTGCAGTGTCGGGGTAGCCCCACTGCAAGGGTTGGGAATATTTCTGCCCGGATTTATTATAAGAGAATCCAGCACTTTGCATAGGCAAATCACAGGTTCCATTTAGGTGGTAGTATTTTTTCTTAATATATACCCAAAAGTTGTGCTTTATTTATTGTAAGATCAGTAAAAGAGACATTCTGATTGGTTGTCGTTAGCTAATTTGAATATTGCCCTCATTAAATAACCCCGAGCGTGCTTAATTTGCATCTCCTGCTTTTCACATTGTAGCCAATTGGCAGAGAAATTGTGAGCCGATTACAGGCCAGTCACGTAGCCAGACGTACATTAGAGAGCAGGCTCGCTCTAAATTAGGTTATATAAATCAATAGAAAACAGAAATAGAAAAAAAAAATAGAACCTCATTTCTCAAAGCAACGGCTAAACCTGAATTATACATTTACGACACTTATCGTATTAGATGAAGGATTACACGTAATAGAAGCATAATATTGATCTGCGTGGGCTCTCACACACCGCTAATATCATATTTTATTCTTTAGAGACCCAACTGGAGATTTCGAAATCCACCTCGAGTGCCGTGTAGGTGCAGTTTACGTTATTTAAAAAAAATAAAAAAATAAAAAAAATCTATTTTAAAGTGTATCTAGAGCCAAAACTTTTTGTTTGGTTGAGGATACAGTAGTGAGGGGTTAGAACCCATTTCAGGATTTTGTTAAGGTGATTTTCCACTTTTTGGGGGAGGTTCTATTTTCAGTACTCACCGATACCGAAAGTCCCATTAAGGAAGCCGAGCGGCATGTAATGACTCGCCGCCCGGCTTCCTGATCAGGTGACGAGGAGTCATGGAGCCGGCTTTCTGGCCAATCAGGAAGATGGGGGGTTGGGTAAGTTGGGGGGGGGGGTAATGACTCTCCGCCCGGCT